CTTGTATTAAATTTTCAAGCTTTTCTGCCTAACAAATAAATTGTTATCGATATTAATTAAAAAAAACCTAATAATGATCGAAAATTTCAAAAGCCTATGAATATTTCAACTTGAGTCGAAATTTTTTGAAAATTGCATGGTRGATAGAATATACCTATATAAACATTCGGTGAACATTTCATGTATCTATGGTCATTCGTTTTAAAGTTACATCAAAAACCAAAATCGATTTTGTCGAAAAATGAGTATGCGTAAAATTTACCGTTTTTCCCTTCATTTTTAGTTTGTTTTTCTCGAATATTTAGAAAAGTATTAAGAATTTTTCACTTTTGACTCCTCAAAGTACCAACTAGATTCACTTTTTGATCAAACGAGGCACTGAAGTCAAAAATCGAAGCTCTATTACTGCCCCAAAACGTGATGACAGACAAAAAAAAAACACACACACACACATCATGATAAAATCAATACATTCATCGCTCCGCTCAAAATCTAAAATAAATGTCATCATTATTATGCATTAAATTATATTATTATTATTATATACTCCTATGATTTACAAATTAATCAAAACAAAATTATTATTATTATATTATATCATAGGTACGATGTTACAAAGTTATCGACTTTTATTGACTGTGAGTGCTTTGGTATTGTTAAGAGTATCGTTATTTTATCGTTGGGGAAAAAAATAATTATTTAATTAATAAAAATGCAATAAAAAATAAAAATGCATGTTGCTAATTTCTAGATTATATACAGTCAATGAATGCCCACAAATCAGAAATAAAATTTTATGGTGCATATTTTTAAATTTTAAATRCATATAAATCGTTTATCCTTGGGACTCAAATTGCCTACTAACATATTTTTTYCGGGACTCAACTTACCTTCTACCTATTATTCYCCGGGACTCAATTTACCGAGTTAGGGTCATTTGGGACTCAATTTACCAATCCCTTTTTAATACAACCAGACTGGTCGCATTAATTCGAAGTTGAAGCGGGATAAAAAAAAGGTTAGGTTTATGACTGAATAAAATTCATCAAAATTAAGTCATAACTCCTAGTATCTCTTAATAAAATATTAAAAGTTTTATCAAACAACAAGTGTCCACAAATCATGTAATAAAATTTCTCTATAAAAAAATTATGACTAACGAATTCAAAAAAAGTAATTAAAAGTGATATTAAAACACGTTACTYGATGATCATCACTAAATGATACAGACAACACAACTTACTATTACCATAAGAAAATATTTTATTTTTCAGTTGTTAAGGGCCTCGCTTAGGTAAATTTTAGCTCAAACAACAGTTTTGACAAAATTCAAGTTAGTTTACGGTAATCCGGTTTTTTTTCTGAAAAAAATTGTACTAGACAAGAAATTATGTATAGATTGTACGGAAACGGAAAACTATTTGTAAAAATTAAATCTTATACCATTATGTACTGTAATTAAAAACTTGAGGATATGATTTTTTCAAATCATGATTAAAATTAATACTTAAAATATATTTCAAATATTTTTCCAGAACCAAACTCACACAACGGTAACTATAACTTTAATTTTGTCAAAAATATTTTTATTATTTAATATTATGTAATATCAGGAATACGACCACAGAAAAAGTGAAACCCATCGGCTATCAACAGTCGAACACTTTTAAAATCTAAATACTAATATTATTTGAAAAAAAAAGTGGGGCCATGGCCTAGCGCACTAAAATTCATGGGCATTGCCATATCAATAATTATCATAATCAACTGTCGTACCATTTTAAACCACAGAATGCCAATTCTTCTCCAGCGATGTGATGGGCTATCAATCTGCTGCAGCTGCAGTGTAACTTCAATTTGTTATTTTTCGATGGTAATATCACAGATTATATAATCTGTGGCTCTATCTAGACGTGTATATGATCAAAGGATAACCGATAAATACAACAAACGTTATCATTTTTATCAATTTACTCTATGAATTTGTTTTATACTTTTATCATAAAATTGCTTTCTTCAATATTTTCTTCAATAAAGTGTGTTTTGTTATTTTGTTAACATTCAACATAACTTGTATTTGTATAGTGTGTAGTATAAGTAGGTATACTGTTCACTTTAATCAAATTTGTTCAGCTTGTCGGAATTGTAACTATACTATGTTTGTGTAAAAAAAAAAGTCGACTTGGTGTAATATTACATGGTGATTAAGCATATGAAGTACCCACAAGTAAGACATGATATCATGATAGTATTTTATAGTGTCCTTAAAAATTAACAAAATAAATACTAATACTATTGTTTGTTTAACTCATAGCATTAATCATTTGACTTATTATGGATGATCCAAATCTGACTACTGCTGCATCTTCTGCTGGATTTTTACCTACTACTTCTGCAAATTATTTAGTTATGCCTTTCACTCCTACTGTACCCAGTGTTCCAATGCCTCAGCCAATGGTTTGGTCTCCAATGCAACAAGCTCCATTGGTTGTACCTGTAACACCACATGTGGTCTCTGCTCCTCCACGTTTCAATCCACGCGCCACTCGTAAAAATTTTCGTCAACCTACACCTTCAGAACCGCCCATCACTGTATTTGTTGGTAACATTTCTGAAAAAGCTCCCGACACTATGATAAGGCACATTTTGGCAACGTGTGGAAATATTGCTTCTTGGAAGAGAGTACAAGGCTTTGGTTTTTGTGAATATTATGGGGCTGAAGCTGCCTTACGTGCCATTAAAGTTTTACACGATATGGAGGTAGGCGGTAAAAAACTTGTGGTGAAAGTAGATGCAAAAGCGCAAGAAACATTAGACCAATTTAAGGCTGAAAAAAAAGGTACTGATGATTCTGAAGAAAATCAACAATTCGAAGTATATTGTAGACAACGTATAAACAGTATAATTACAGAACACAATGATGAAATAACCAAAGAAGGAAAACAAAGTGAAGAAGAAGACAAACTAAGCATAGTTGATGGGGTTGGATTTGATATGGTGCCAAATGAAGATGAGAAGAAAAATTTAATTTTTCGAGAAATAGGCAAGTTTCGAGAAGTTATGAAAAAACGAGAAGAAGAAAAAGAAGTTGAAAGAAAAAAAAAACAAGAAAAGGAAAAATTAAATGGAAGACATGCAACTCCTGATAGTCCAGATTCTGAAGAAAATAGAAGGATACGCCGTAGAGAAGAACGAGATAAAAGAGATAAAGAAAAAGAAGAAAGAGATAAAAGAGAAAGAGAAAGAGAAAGAGATGAAAGGGATAAGCGTGACAGAGAGAAGAAGGAAAGAAGAGACAAAGAAAGAGAACGAGAAAAAAAAGACAGAGAAAAAAGTATTGACAAGGAAAACCGCAAAGAAAAAGAACCAGAAAAAAGCAGAGGCCACTATGATAAAAATAGATTAAGAGAAAAGGAAATGGAAGAAGAAGAGCTGGAGTTAAAAAAAGAGGATGATAGACGAAGAGAGAGAGAATTAGCATACCAAGAGAAACGTAAACAATGGGAAATCAGAGAAAATCAAAAGAAAAAAGATTTAGCCAAAGAACGTGCTAAAAAACAAATGATAGAAGAAGAAAGAGAAAGAAATGCTAAAAAACTTAAAGAGTTTTTGGAAGACTACGATGATGATAAAGATGACCAGAAGTATTATAAAGGCAGAGATTTACAAAAACGTATTGAACTGCGTGAAAAAGAAATAGAAGAAGATGGAAGAGATCGACAAAAAGAAAAAGAAGAACTGGAAATCATTCGAGAAAAGATATATAATAATGTTGAACTGAAAGATCCAGAATTAGAATTTGCTAAGGTATTAAAAGCCAGAGAAGAAATGTACAAGCCCAAATTATTAATAGATGTCGCTGAAAAACAAAAAGATAAATTAAAACGTTATGAAATGGAAATTGAAAAAGAGATTGAAAATCAGAAAAACATAGAAGTTGAACAGGAACGTCAGAGGCATATTATGGAGAAAGCACTAACACCCAGTCCGCAGCAGCCAGCTACACCACCTAGTGTTGAGTCTCAAACACCTCCACCAGAATTTGCACCGATGACTCAACCTACCACTTTAATGATTAAGAAAAGAATGGATGTAAAAGATGTATTTAATAATGATGATGAAGAAATGCCCAGGCCTAAAAAAAGAAAATTGGTTCCTCTTGATTACACTGATAAAAAAGAAGAAGAAAGTAAAGCAGTAGAGGAAAAGAAAAAAAGTATCCGTCAGTTAATTGAGCGCATCCCCACCGATAAAGATGACTTATTCTCATTTAATCTTGATTGGACAGTAGTTGACAACCAACTGATGGAAAAACGCATTAGGCCGTGGATAAATAAAAAAATCATTGAATATATCGGTGAGCCAGAACCAACCCTGGTAGATTTTATATGTTCAAAAGTGTTAGCCGGTAGCAGTCCTCAGGCTATACTTGATGACGTTCAGATGGTACTTGATGAAGAGGCTGAAGTGTTTGTTGTAAAAATGTGGAGACTTCTAGTATATGAGGTAGAAGCTAAAAAGTTAGGATTGGTTAAACTAGAAGAAAATGGCCATAAAGATCCATAGTGTGTACAATAAATAATGTGTAACTTTCTGTAAATATAATATAATTCAAATATTGTGACGATTAAAAATCTATTTACATTTTTACCCCAACGCATTATATTATACACTATGTTTTGTCACTTCATCATTGTTTTCAATATTACCTAATTGATTTTAAATAAAACTATTTATGTGAATAACAAATCTATACTATATTTATTTCGTGTGTCTAAATATAATATACTCTGTGTATTTAAAATATTATAATTTACATTATAATACCTTTTGTACTTTATTCACCTATTTTGTACTAAATAATAATATGTATTGTATATATATAATGCATGGATTTATTAATTTTTTTTTTTTTAAGTTAAAATGTTATAAATATTGAATATTATCCTTGATTAAATACAAGTATACACATAAATTTTAATTTTGAAATATTTATAGATTTAGATAGTTCTAATGTTTTCATAAATATTTAATTATTTATGTCCATCAGTAGAAAGTTAACTACTTTCTGAAAAAATAAGTATTTCAACAATACTATAGGATAAGCTAATTCGGTTATTTGATAAAATGTTATTCAGAAAAAATCTGAATGTTTTATAAACAGTCTTCTTAATAATTACAAAATTTATTGTATTATTGTGTATTTGGAAGAATAATAGGTCATTCTTTGGATAACCTAAGCAGTGGATGGTATTAAACTAGTGTTTAAGTATTAAATTTGAAAGTGATATAATAAATTATTATATTTGATACACAAATCTAAGCATAACTCTTACTGTTATTTCACTAATTGAAAAATCAAGTATCAATATCTTAAAATACAATTAATAAATATTTTAGTTAGAATATTTACTCAAAGCATAAATGGCTTAATGAACCTTTTTTCACAGAAAAATTGTCTGGTTGACAGCTTAAAATTGTATGTATATACAATATTATTGAACTTAATCTTTTGTGTATTTATAATATACTACCTATTAGTACTACTTTAGTATAATTCTATGGTTTGCTAATGGTTAACAATTTCAATTGAAATTAAAAATTGATAACAAATAATATGTTTTAGCAGTTCATTGTAACTAGGGTCTAAAATTAAAAATATGTTCATCCTAATAAACCAAAGTCTACAGATTTAATATGGGTATTGTATCTAATTAGTATAATATCTATAATAAATACAAAATAGGTTTCTAATACAAAAACCTTATAAAGTTTTTTTTCCTGGGTAAAAATCTTGATCATCTGTTAATGGAATTATTTTTTAATTGCATTCAGCATTWGGTCTACTCGATTAAAAGCATTAAAAAAACAGTGCATAATGATGATTAGGGCTCAGATTTCAATGCATTTGCATCTTTTTTTKGGGATATCTTACGCGATGCTTTCCAARCTACAAATATGTTTCAAGTACTTTGCWATCTAACCACAATAGTTTTTTGGGCCATTTTTAGCGGATTTCATCATTTTTAGGGTATTTTTTGATGGTTTTAATGCATTTTTTAATTTTTTAGTA